AGCAGGAGCTCAGTCTCAAGTCTGATTCCCTCCACAAACAGTGCCCAGGAAGTGCTCCCTAGACGTTTGCCTCACTGAAGCAAGAGAGCTAAGTCCCAGGCCTAGGAGCACTCCTGACAAAATGGAATTGTGGTGGACAAGGGGTCGCCCACTGTGCAGGGGGCGCTGGGGCAGTAGAAATGAAAGGACCAGGTAGGAAGGGTCAAATGGATCAGACCACTCCTCCAATAGACCATGTTTCAGAATCACCAAGGTGGGCCCTTGAACTGGATCAACAAGTTCTTACAGGAGCCCCCACTGGGGCAGGCCCAAAGACGACTGAGTTCAGTCTCTGCCCTCTGGGAACTTGGATGCCATCTCTTGTCTTCCAGTAACTTTCTGGGTAATCTTGGGGCAAATAATTCTAAACATCCCAAATAATTCTGCAGTATCTGAGAGAGAAAGATCGTGCCCTTTATCTTTTGTCCATCTGCCCTAAGCCCTGCCAGGGAAGCTCATGCCATCAGCCAAGCTGATGGGCAGACTTCCAATGGGCCCCAGCTGGCAGGTATTGTTCCCCCATCCCCCAGGGTGACAGGACAGGGCCTGATGGGGCAGCATCAGTCCTTTACCCCAGTGGCTATAAAAAAGGGTTTCATTTTCTAGGACAGCTAAGGCATGACAAAGGTCAGGAAGCCCTGCCTAAGCCATCTTGGTGAAAGAGGATGCCAATACAACTGAGGAGCTCAAACTCAGGGCCCAAACGTCATTAACTGCTTTTCCCCGGATCCCAGATTTTTGGCTGCATGGAACAGCAAAGAAGAACCCAAGAGTCTATCCCCAACTCCTCACCTTGATGGATGAGGCGAAAGACCCACTCGTCTGAGGCTGAGGAGGGTCCTGAGACAGGGAGCTGGTAAGAGGCAAAGATCTAAAGACCACAGCTCTCTGGTTTCCCAAAGGTTTTCCTTACGGGGCTGGGAGGAGAGGAACCTGCCAGCCTCTTGGATCCAGCACCTGGCCCATGGGTGAATCTGCAATCCAACAAGAAGCTGCTTGTGTGGGGGTCGGTGGGGGGAGAACCTATTCTCAGCTCTCTCCTTTTCTCTCTCACTCTTTCTTTGCCCCCCAACTGCCTCCCCCCCCCACCTCCGTCCCCTCGCAGTCACACATTTTCTGGTTCATTTCAGATGACAAAGTTCCTCTTTCCAAAAAGTCCCATCCCCCAAGAGTCCTTTCTGCTAAGACACCATCCCTCCCACCTGAGAAGGGGGCTGTCCCACAGTGGCCCCCAGGGGCAGAGACAGGCTCTCCGAGCACATGACTCCACTTACCTTCCATGAGCCCCTAAGCTACCACAGCAAAGTTCCCATTACAAGGCCTCATCCCCTGATCTATACCTCCTTCTCCGCAAGGATCCCAGACTTGGTTAGGAATGCTAACCCAGCCCCTCCCAACCCTTTCTACAATGGAATCTGAAACTCATGGGTTAACGGGGCTGGGAAGAACTTAGAGGTGGGTTGTCCGGTCCAGTTCCTACCAGAAGCCCAGGAACAAGAGGACCTGGTCTAAAGTCACATAGATCATCCATGGCAGAACTCAGAGTCCTGATCCCAGGCCAGGGCTTGTACTTTCCACTTACCCATATAGCAGGTTTTTTTCAAATCTTGCCTTCTACCCAAGACCTTCCTTCCCTCCCTGCCCCGGCCTGGCCCTAAAGTCTCATCCTCTTGACCCCTGTGGCAGTTACTCACAACCTTGGACCTGTGCCTAAGGATGGGTCTCCAGGACCACTTGGGGGCCCCTTCCCAGCAAATGTTACTTTGTGGCAAGACTTTCTCCCTTTTGGTCACCAGACTCGCCCCAAAATTGCTGGAAGCTTGATCAAAAACCACCCTGAGTCAACATGACTATAATAAGTTACTTTGAAGTGAGACACAAGCAGGTGTTTAAAATGGAAGCGCATGGTTGACACAGAGAGGCCCCTGTGGTCTCTGAGACAACCTAGGGTTACGGGACCTGAGCTCAGAGTGGCACAGTGGCCATTCCACCTACCGAGAGCCCCGCGGAAACACTGCCCACCCACCCCAATCTCCCTGAGTGCTGTAGCCCCTGACTCTCCCTGAAGCCGGGGCTCCTCCCCTACCCCATGCTGTGTCGAAGCTGGTTCTGGGAGGCACCATTCCAGTTGATCTTTCTTCTCCCCTTCACCTTCTCCATAGACTGTATATACATCCATCCTGTTACCCACCTCTGCCATCTCATTTCTTCCTCTGACAGCCACGAGGGGGACAAAGGCTGGAATGAAGAGCAGTTGCTTGGAGTCACAAAGCCCTGAGTTCAAATGTCAGCTCAGCCACTTCCTGGCCCAGTATCCTCCAATTAACAATTCAGACTGTTTCCAATGCGTTCATCTTTCATTTTTTCTTTAAAAGCAAAATGTTAAGGGCGCAGCCCTAAAAGCCTTTTCACTGGGTTGTTGTATAGAATAAAGACAATGCTTAACCAACTGAGCCACCCAGGCACCCACTAGAATAAAGACAATAAGTATGTCCACAGGGCTCCCATGGTCCCATCTTCTGTGGCTTCGGGAGGACCACCACCCTCAAAAGTCTTCATGGCTGTCAATAATAGTTCCCCTCCAAAAGCTTCTAGGCAAAGCCCACCTAGCCTCAGCTGACTGCCATTATCAGACAAATGGCAATGACCTCTAGAATGCCAGGGAGGGCTGGCCAGGGAGATTCCACCCATGACCCCTCCCCTGTGAACATCCTGTGGGGCACCCCAAAATGGAAAGCAACTGAATACCTTTGAGACAACTGTCATTCCAGAGCAATCCCACCAGGATGGGCCCTAGACATAGGTGCCTGGAATGATGTGAGGAACCGCAGACACTCTCTGTAGCCCAAACCTCCCATTCCTTGTAGTGACAAGGGCCTGGTAGTCCACAGTCAGACCTCATTCCACCAGCATTAGTGCACACCTACCATTTTCCAGGCATCAGGCTAAGCACTGGGCTTCATTCCTCTGGGTTATTTGTTACCCTGACCATTTTCTTTTAAAATGCAAATGGCTCCTGAGAAGAGCAGTACAATAATTGCTAGCACCCCAGATTGGATTAGCTGGGGTGGGGGCGGGGGTCTTGTAAGACAGCAGAAAAGGACTGGATATCTTTAGTGAAAGGGGACCTAAATGAAGTTCAGAGGTGACTGCGGAATTAAGGAGCAAGACAGAGCAACAACCTGGCCTTTTCCAGGGGTGAATTTCCAGGGCCACATCTACTCCTTCCTTTATCCTTCCGCCAAGACAAACACACCTGTCGCCCCTACAAGCAGTAGCAGCCCCCACAAATGTAGCCGGTGAGGCTACCTGGGTTCTGTGGGAGAAAGCAACCAAGGGGCGGCCTTGGCCCCACTGCAGAGGGGCCGGGCCTGCCTTTCACCATCTCCAGACTGAGGACGCCCTGAACCAGTGCCTACTCGCTCCCCGACAAGTCCAGGGCTTGGAGTTCAGGTAATTAGGCCCTTGGCAATCTCACCTGAGCCTGCCAGTAAAACTGAGACAATCACCCTCAGCCCCTGTTTAGGAGGGAGAGAGGAAAGAAGAGGGGGGAGGGAAGGAAGAAAACTTTCCTTCTGTACTAAACTCAAGCCTTGGCAACCAGAAGGGAGAAGGCCATTAGTCTATAAGCAGCCATTCGAAACACCCCACACCCACTTCATACCCAGGGTTGTCCCCTCCTGCCACAGAACCCTGGCCTCTGTCTGCCACCATCATCCAGGGTACCAGGGGGCACCTAGAGGGGCTACAACCTGAACAGGAGCGAGGCAGTGAGGTCCTATGCTGGCAGAGAGAGTCTTTCCCCTGTGTGGCTCCTTCCATGGCAAAGGAGGGACGCAAGAGTCCGCCACCCCACCCCAGGAGCCAGAGCCAGCCTCCAAGAAAGTCTAGAAGGATGCTCCAGAGTGTTAAAGTGCAGATGAGTGACTTCGTTGTACCCTGCCTTATGTCACTCCTGCAGAGTGAGGACCTTTTTTTCAAGCATCTCTAAATTGGCAGAGCGCCCAGCGGGTACCTGGCGCACAAAGAGGACTTTCTTTTCCCCCCCAAATAATAAACTTTAATACTTCTTGTATATGATCACACAGCTATGGGATACCCGGCCCTTTTTACTCCCTATATCATATCCATATCCTATATCCTTATGCTCACTCATAAGAGGGGAAAGCATTTTTCTGTCACACGGTAGAGTCGGGGGAGAATATAGTTCAACAATATTGCCGTTTATGGAATGCTTGCAAGGGGTCTAGCAAAAAGACTCTATGAGGATTACCTAGCTTAATGCTTCCTAAGGGATAGGTACTATTCCAATTTACAAACAACCAAACTGAGGCTAAGAAAGAAATTCAGAAATTTGCCCAAGGTCACACTGAAGTTTTAATGAATACTTATTTAATTGAACTGACGGCTCCCATTCTTTATCTAGAACTAGGAAGAAGGATGGGGCGCCTGGGTGGCGCAGTCCGTTAAGCGTCAGACTTCAGCTAAGGTGGTTATCTCCTGGTTGGTGGGTTGGAGCCCGGCATCCGGCTGTGTGCTGACAGCCCAGAGCCGGGATCTTGCTTCAGATTCTGTGTCTCCCTCTCTTGCTGCCCCTCCCCTGTTAGCTGTACTACGTCCCTCTCTATCAAAAATGAATAAACATTTTAAAAAATGTTTAAATAAAAAAATAAAAAAGAACTAGTAAGAAGGAGGGGGGGAGGCAATCTGTGCCCAAAGACCCTTATCCAACCTCACCAACAGGTAAGCAGGGGGTGCAGCCGGCCGACGAGCTCTGCTACTCGGGTGCAACAAGTCCAGCTACCCTAGAAGTGTTTGAGGGCCATCTCTGGAGTGGCTACACTTCTCCACAGCCTCTGGGGTCCTGGAAGCTTTCAAGGATCCCAAATTCTCCCACTGACTCTGCCTTTCCTAACGTGGGCCCCCATCGAACAGGACTAGGGTTTCCAGCTCCTTACTCCCCTCGCCTGGGGAGAGGTCTCAACAGATGGCGAGGAGGTGCATCAGGGCAGGGTCCTCCGGAGTCGAGCCTGACAGCCTGTAGGTCTCCGGCTTCCTTCCCGCCACCCCCGCAGGCTGAGCTGTGCCTTGCGCGGGGAAACAAGGGCACTGCAGTCAATACTGGGGCCTGCCGCACGCCCAAGGCCGCGGACCTGGTGGCGTCTCCTGGCCCTGGGCAGGAACCCGCAGAGACCCCTGCCACCTCCCGGTGCACGCTTAGCACAAAGCGCCACAGAAAAGGCCAGGTGCGGACGTTACTCGCTAGTCACCGCGGCTCCTGGCCTCTCGCTTACTGCCAGGCTCTAAGGCCAGAGGCCCGAGCCGCTGGCTAATTTTTCACGCCCCCCAGACCGCCTCCCTAGGTGACGCTAGAGTCTGTGCGGTTCCTTTAAAGGCTGCGGGTTCCGTTCCTCTTTCCTTTTCCACTGGATGCCAAAATATGCAAATCCGGGGACCGGAATCAGCAGCCAAATCGAGGAGAAGGGGCGCGGCCGGCGCGTCACCGGATCCGCTCCTTGTATGGCTCTTCCCGGCTTGGCCCGCCGCCCCGCGACCCTCCCTGCAGCCGCCCGGGCCCCTCCCGCGCCCAGCCGGGCTCACACTGCCGCCCACGCCCCCGGGCCGGCCGCTCGCCCCCCTAGGGAGGGAGCCGGGGGCGGGAGGCGCTGCATGCCCTGATTCCGGCCGGAGCCGGGGACCGCTGCAGAGCGCTCTCCCTCCCAGCGCCGCGCAGGCGGAGGAGAGCCCGGGGGCGCAGTGCCTCCCCTGTATAGGTGTGGGGAGCCAGGCGGGAGCGGCGGCAGGGGCGGGGTGAGGGGGCTCGCGGGCGGCGGGAATCCCTCCTTTCCTAAGAATCGGAGAAGATCCGGGGGAGGCCGGGCCCTCCCACCCCCAGTTCTCCGCCGAGCGGAGGGGAGGGGAGCGAGGTTGTCATCCACCCCCACCGCAATGTGCAGCTCGGGAGTTCCTCCCACACGTCCCCGGCCCGCGTGGCCCTCCCACGGAGTGAGGCCCGGGGATCCTCTCTTCCTCCTTGTCAGCACTCCCACTCCCCCTGAGAACTGCACGTTCCCCCAACCCCGACTCCCCAGTGGGGGGGGGGGGGGGGGGGGGGGGGGGGGGGACACGGGATTCACCGCGCCCACACGGCCACCGAGGAGGGAATCCTCCCACGCCAAGCCGGTGCCGGTGTGATTCGGGGTCGCTCCCCCACGCTCCCTTTCTCTCCTCCCGCTCTCCCGCGGCCCGGCCGGAGCAGGCCTTTGGGGAACGTAGCAGCCGCCCCCGGAATCTGCTGCCGCTCCGGGAGGTGACAGCGTTCCGGTCGGCAAACTGGAGGCCCTTGACTGCGGGGCGCCGGCAGGCAGCAAAGGGGACAGCCCTGTGGAAGGCGAGGGGGAGGGTAGAGAGAGACTAGAGGAGGTGGTTCAGAGACTGTGGGTTCGGCAGGCTCCTGCTGCAACTCAGTGGCGGGCCCTTCGCAGGCAGCAATAGACAGGGACTGTGCCTGGGCCTGCTGGGCCCTCCTGCCATCCCGTGGCCAAAGGGGGTGTTTTGGAACCGTTAGAGAATTATCAGGGGTTTGGTGCACGTGTTTCCTGTTCCCTCAACTCCATTCCTACTTCTCCACCACTCAAACCGCACATCCTCGACCCCCAAAGTGCGGGTTTCTCGCCTCCCGCGCAGCCGCTCTGCAGCTACGAAGCTCGCGGCCACCGCGCTCAGCTAGGAGTCAGCGCAGGGTCAGGGGCCCGGGGAGCCGCGGGGTGTGGGCGGAGAATCAGAGTGAGGGCAGCTCGAAAGTGATCGGGATGCTGGATCAGCGATCCCTGACACGCTGGAATCCTCCTCAAAGGGACGCGCTCTCTTTCTCTCAGTCTCGGGCAGGGTCCTAGATACGAGACTCTAATGCGGCTGGAGCCGGGTCGAAGCGCACACCTTCCGGGTTCCCCAGAAGTTCCCAGGTTGCAAAGGGACCTCGCCCGGTGTTTCCAACTCCCCTTCTCCCTGCTTGGGGTGTTGGGGGCCACTTGCAAACAACTCCATCCCACCGCCCCGCGCGGTATCAGCGCGCTCTCCTAGAGCGCACCTAAAATAAACACACTGGCTGCTATTGCTTTTTCCACCCTGCGCTGCGCGCTTTACGCTTTGCGTTCAGTTGCTTCCCTCCTTCCTCTCTCCTCTCGAATTTTCCTTCTTTCTTCTCTTCTATTTCTCTCTTTCTCTCATTTTTTTTAAGATCCGCGAGCGTTGCGGGCGCCGCACGTTGGCTGCGGCCCGCTTCCTGCTTTCTAATGTTCCATTGTGAGGAGCTTCCATTGTGACGTCGCGCCCCTTCGGCTGGGCTTTGTCTGTCCATATATGGGCAGCTACGTCACGGAGCTTTCCCGGGGCTCAGATAAATAGGCTGGTGGAGTTCCCTGGCTGGGAGCTTTTGGGCAGCAGTGAGCTTGCTAGGAAGCGGCGGGGCTGGTGGTGGTGGTAGCAGCGGCAGCAGCAGCGGCAGAGGCGGCGGCGGCGGCAGTGGCGGCGGTGGCGGTGGCGGATC